GAAGAGTTTAGCTCCAACCCTAATTAAACACACCTGAACCAGCTAATCAAGCTCTTACTAGGCATAGAAACTTCCAGTCAGGTGTGTTGAGGCAAGCAGTGTTGCCAATTTAGCTACTTTGTAGCTAGATTTAGTGACTCCTCCGCCCCTTTTGAGACTTTTTTCAAAAGTTTAGGAACAAATATAACAACTTCTTGGACAAACCTTATCTAAGTTCTCATCTTGCCCACTGATCTACGTTCATCTTTATATAGATCAGTGAATTTGCCATTGTGATGTCATCTAGTGACATTTAGCTACCAGTTTTAGCTACTTTCAATTGAAAGCAGTTGGCAACACTGCTCTGGATGGTGAAAACGACATTTCCCATCATTCCACTCTCCTTCATAGCGTCATCAAGCTTCGCCTGTGTTATTGTTTTGAAAATGCAACCTCTAGCGGTTGAAAACTTACATATTGTGCCTTTAAGAGTGCAATGATGTAAACTTGATTCATTCAGCCGATAAAAATTCAGTTCACTTTATATTCCTACTATAGCGGGTCATGTGATACGTGAGGAATTGTGAATATATTTTCAGCCCATCTGCTGAACAAGCCGAGCCCATCTCGTTCTATCTGCTGAACCAAAAAAGTATTCAGTGAAACTGTTGATGTGTTTACTAGGAAATTATTGTGGGTGCCGCAGGTTTGTATTCAGACAGGTTTTATCATCACTACTGCTGCTTTTTCCCTCTATGCTTCAAAGTATTACACAAAGGTGCCATTATCAAAGCCTTCTTTCCCAGTAGGCCTAATAATCACTCCTAATAGCACGATCAGAGGAAGCCTGCGAGACCACAGCACCTGTTGGCTCTGCTCAGAGCAAATATTGGTCTTCTCATAGAATGGAAACGATAGAGACCAGACCTATATACCTATTTACCAGTGCACATTTTTGTGATTTTGGTAATGGTTTAAAGTGTTAACCATGGCAAGTTATTTTCCTCCTAGAGAAATGCATGTAGAAAAGTTGCTTGTGTGGTTTTACATTTTTACTTCCATCTTTACACTCCTATCCATCTCGTGGATTAAGATGGCTGTGCCGTTCTGACGGGCTACCGAAGGACCTTTCAGGCAGGTACGGACAGAGCTGCATGTGCTGCTTGTCTGTCCGTCCCTCACTCTGCCGTTTTTCATCTTCTGCTGTGTTTCTGCTTCATATTCCTTTCTTTTCATTATTATTCAGCTTTTTATTATGCTTCATCAGCATCCCAGAGATCACATTGTGACAAGTGTGCTTGTCTGTGGCACCAGATATTTGGGGATGTGAACCTTGCTCCAAATGCTAGCGATGTTTAAGGAAATGTTGAAGCCTTTGTCCATTCTTTCATTCCATTGCCTCATGTAACCTTCAGTATGTCAACTTGTCAAAGTACGTGACTGTGCTGTAAGGCTGGATATGAGTGTATGTTTACAGCTGCTTTTATCCGAAATGCTGTTGCTTTGTGGTTTTGTTGTATAAATTGATATCAGTGTTGTTCCAAAATAATTGAAGAATGACGGCAGCACAACTGGCAATTCAAAATTTAATAAAGCACAATCGAATTAACAGAACAACCATTCTGAGACTGTAATCTAATCTGTCCATGATGGAACATATATTTACTTGCACTAATTTTCAGTGTTAACGGTCTTTAATTTGATTGGCAGCATTAGACTGCTCACTAATTGTGATATCATGCACTAGCCAGGCATATGTGTTGTGTGTATCCTGGTGCAAAAAGAGAATGCTCCGCCTGACTGTTCCCCACAGGAAGTGCTTTTATCCCACAAAGTTGGCTGCTCAGCATTAAAGTCGTTGGCTGACTAACCAATGGAATGTCTGCCAAAGTATGTGGGGAAGAGAGCAAAAGTGCAGCAAAGACAGAAATGACATGTACTACTGATCAAATGATGTGTAGTGTGACATTTCACTTCAGCAGCTATAAAATCGAACACTGTAATACACTGAGTGTATTTAATTTGGAGCTGCTGTTCAGCATAGAAAAATATATTAACGATTCTGAAAATGTAATATGTCTCTTGAAACAGTGTAATGAATCAATTTAGCTGTCAGTTGAATACCTCTAGTCACTGGTTTACATTAATACTGCCCACCTTTGGTCTGCGATCTGCAGAAAATGTGGGCAGGAACTACTGTACTGAAAAAGCCCTATTTTTATTTAACCAAATATTTCCTGTTTTCATACACTGTGCAAACGTGCAAAAATCATACCGTTTAAGAGTAAAACAGCTTGTCACCGGGGCAGTACTCTTAAACGTTTTTGAGAGTAGAAAAGTGCATATTAGTACCATTGAGTAAACCTATTTACCTTTAAGGTACTGCTTTGAACATTTTAGGGGTAAATAAGGTACAAAATTTTCCCTTTAAGGGTACTGCCCCAGTGACAAACTACAGAGTGTGTAGAAGAGCATGAATTCTTCGGGGTAGGCAGGTTTCCTGTAGACTATATTGCATTTGTGGTTCTACTATGTACTGATGTCATTTCCTCTGTGTCTTTTGCAGGTAATAATGGCAGTATTAACTCCATCTCTGACCGAGGGACACAGCCTGCTCTCCGTTTGGTCTATGAGCTGCAGTATATGTGGGCAGGAACTACTGTACTGAAAAAGCCCTATTTTTATTTAACCAAATATTTCCTGTTTTCATACACTGTGCAAACGTGCAAAAATCATACCGTTTAAGAGTAAAACAGCTTGTCACCGGGGCAGTACTCTTAAACGTTTTTGAGAGTAGAAAAGTGCATATTAGTACCATTGAGTAAACCTATTTACCTTTAAGGTACTGCTTTGAACATTTTAGGGGTAAATAAGGTACAAAATTTTCCCTTTAAGGGTACTGCCCCAGTGACAAACTACAGAGTGTGTAGAAGAGCATGAATTCTTCGGGGTAGGCAGGTTTCCTGTAGACTATATTGCATTTGTGGTTCTACTATGTACTGATGTCATTTCCTCTGTGTCTTTTGCAGGTAATAATGGCAGTATTAACTCCATCTCTGACCGAGGGACACAGCTGCCTGGTCACCGGGAGGTAAGATGTCAGATATTTTCATCTCATTTAGATTATCTTTTCAGTTTATGGTTCAGGTCTATTGTGTTTGAAAAAGCAACGGATTACTGCTGTGAGTGGTATTTTGTAATGCGGTAAATAGGTCAGATTCTGAGGTTGTGGTAGTTTAAATGTGTGAATATACTCAAACCACAAGGTCTCCCTACTGCTCTAAAATGTTGGGCCAATTTGAAGTTAAGTCTAGTGTAACTCTTGAATACAGATCAGATGGATTGGCCTGTCTACCACTAATACATTTATAATGCTCACCAAAAGCAATATAAAAAGTGTTTTTGATGAATGAATTTGTGAACAAATTAGGACATTTGTGATTATAGAATATAGATTTTTAAAAACCATTTTGTGAATGGTTTTGAACAATTAATAAAAAAAAAATAACTACCCACAAATCAAAGTGTGGGTTTTACTATACATAAGGAATATTTTAAAACAGAACATAATTAAATCTATAAATCTGTTTTATCTATCTAGAAATTACCATGAATTATGTGATTTTTATGTTTTTGAAAATTCCCTGATATTTCCGTGTTTTCCATGACTGAAGGATCCCTGAATATATTCAAACTTGCAAAATATACCCCAGCGACTTAGGACTGGTTTTGTGGTCCAGGGTCACATTTTGGCAAGCTACATGCAATGGTGCATTTTTGTCTCAATATCTCACTAAACCTGGACACAGATAAAAAAAGAATAACTGCAAGGTTATAGAATTAGTCACCCTTGTGATATCAGTTTGGTGAGAGGGCATCTAGAGTTGAAGCTGTAGCTCTGCTTTGTATTAAATGATGAAGTATTGCAATGAGCAGCACTGTGATCTCAGTCAGAACAGTATAAGCCAGATCGTCACAGGAGAGTCTCCAGGCAAAAAGGCATGTGTCTACTGTAGAGGTGTCTACAGTAAGGGGCAGTGACCCACTCTCATCAGAGGTCTCTGTGTGAGAGAGTGTGCAGCCTAGTTAGCATTTGCTAGCACTGCTTGCAACATGAACATTTTGTAAATGCTCTCACCATTGGAGCACTTTATGAAAGTTATGACGGCTAAAACTGAGGTATGGATACCCTATTCATAGTCAGGACCTAGGAGAGATTGTTGCTTTGTTAGAGATAGCTTTAAATGACTAAATTGTACTTTAAATTATATTAAACATTTGGGGTTGAATATTAAATTTGTTCAGTACTAACTGCTACATCAATAATGAATTGCTATTTTGTTATTTAAATTGACATGGTGTATTTAGTCAATATTAGAATTTTATTGTATTATTTATTTTATTGATGATGGTAATTTCTGCTGAACACATTGAGACTGGACTACACCAACTTCATGTTATATTTCATTTTGTTGTGTCCAAGTGTGCGTTTTTAGGCGAGAGGTGAGCCATCACCTTCAGTATCTGTCTTAAACACATGCAATGCTTTGTCACTCTCTTTTAACACTTCTACAGCTCTGTTGGGCAACACCAGTGCTTTCTCATCTACTTGGCCTTGATATGACGACCCTAATGTCTACTATTTGAAATATTCAGCTTGGTAGAAATTAATTTGCATGAGTGCAGATATTAGATAATGTGAAATTCTATAGATATTCTTAAGAATCCCTTTAGTCTAATTGATTTTGATGATTTGTTGTTGCTTTATAGATTGTTTGGAAGCCTGCGATTGTCATTTTTACATCAATAGTGATCAATAATCCATGTCTTTTCCTAACAGAGCAGCGCTCCTGTCAGCTAATAAGTGCTCCTGTCAGCTCTCTCACATTTACTTAGTAGAACGCAACAAAATGCCTTCACAAATGGCACAATGCCTCTACTTTATTAGTTTATTGGCTTTCTCTGGTTCAGTCTCTGAATGGCCTTATTTAGAAAGACATGCCAAGCAGGCAAGCGTTTTTGTGACTTATCTGTTTTGGCCTGTTTTACTGTCTGGGGCAGCATATTTGAAGGTACAGTTGGTATTTTCTTCTCCTCCGTGCTTGTGGGATTTTTATGCATGATATAAGATATGTGTTTGTCTCTCGAGTGAAAAACTGAATGTCTTGCTGTCATACCTCAAAGGCATGTTTGTACAAGTATGACATTTGATGTTACACTAGGATGGATCTCTGAGGTTTCCTCCGTTTCCTGAGGTTTTGTTATACTTGATTTTACATAATTTTATTCGTTTTGGTATTGATATTGGTTTTGTGTCTGGGATAGTTTTTTTTTTTATTGTTTGTTTTGTGTTTCTTCATGTGACAAATAAAAATTATGTCATACAAGAAAGCTTAAAACATTTTTTCAGAAAGGTGCCATAATATTACTACACTTGTCATTTAATGTTTTTTTTCATATTTGTACATCACTATTCTTTTTTTTTTTTTTTTCTGTCTGTTTGTGTGTGTATACCTGCTTAACCATATTTTGGGGACCTCCTCATTTGTAATATGGTCTAAAAAGAACCTTTCTTAAATGGTAGAATTGCAGAAGGTTTTCTGTTAGGGTTAGGTTATTGTATTTAAAACTAGCTGTACATAAAAACTGCAGAGGTCTATGCAGTGTCCCCATTTATATACTGTAGTTAAGTAAATGTGTGTTTGTATGCATGTTGATTTCACACTTTCTGCAGAAGTAACCGTTCTCTTCATACTGTACCTGTGGTTTTGTCACCTGGAAAAGATAAGAGACACTCACAGTTGATAGGAATCACATGCGTCATGTCTCATTTGTTCATTGTGACAGAAGTCAACTCTGAATGAATCTCCATGGTCATGTGGTTGTGTACGAGAGTAGGACTGTTGTTGATTTGAATCTCTTTTTTCTTTTGTAGATAGACAAGTTTGGACAGAACAGGGACTCTGTGTACTTCAAGGATGGTGTTCGGCACATCGATTTTGTCCTGTCCTACGTTGACGACAAGGATGGAGACAAGAAAGCGGTATGCCACTAATATACAGAACTTACATAGTAATTTTATTAATGCACGTCTAAAACATGACGCTTGTTTATTTGTCATTTATCTGTTAATTCATACATTTAAAATGCAATTCACTCATGACAGGTTTCTTTTCTTTTTTGCTACTCTCTATAATTGTTTGTTTTCCACAATCATGATCTCATTATGCATTTTTATGCAGGAATGCTAATTGGTGTGCATTCTCTCCTAAATGTTCTGTACTTGGCTTTAAGCAATCAAACAATGACTGATGCTTAATATTGCTCATTGTGTTCAAAAATAGTCTGATGGGGACCTGTACGTAGGCGTGCAGTGGTGGTGAGATGGGGTGCGATGTCTGCTGGGTCATAAGGCACAGTGGAAAAACAGTGAGTCAGAGTCAGATTGAAGCTGTTGCACAATAAACTGAATGCTAAACATTGATTGCATAAAACGAGGGGTCAACCACTTCTCTCTCATCAGACCCTTCACTGACACTGAAGGGTTTGCTGGTGAACCTGTTTGATCTGTTTTCTCCTGTATGCAGAGGTTGATGCGTGGTCAGGCTCTCTGCTTAATGAAGGTCATATCCCTTGAGTCACCTGTTTGAGATGGTGTTCCATAAGATAAGATGGAAGTAGCCATAGGTCACCGGTGCTTGTGGGAAATACGAGTTTTCTCTAAAGACGTAGTTCAAAGCTTGTTTACAACCCTCAGAACATAAAATGTCACACTGTTACCAGATACAAAGCTCAATGAATAGATTACTTAAGTAATGATAAAAACAGAGAAAGAGACCATGAATGATATGGTTGAAAACGCCTGTTTTTGTGTGTTGTTTTTCCTCCAGGAGAGAAGAAGAGAGTTTGAAGCCAACCTGGAGAAGGCTGGTCTTGAGCTGGAGGCTGAAGATAAATCGGTGAGGTTCTGAGCCACACATGGTTGGACTTCTATTGTGCATCTTTATTTTATTTTATATTTTATTTCATTTTTCTCCTATACCGAAGTGTGATTTTGTGCATTTGATAATCACATATAACACTTCTCCACTCAAAAATATCTTCCCCTGCAGGAGTCAGATGACCGTAAGACGTATTATCTGAAGATTCACGCTCCGTGGGAAGTGTTGGCCACCTATGCTGATGTGCTAAAGATCAAAGTGCCCTTTAAAGCGAGTGATATTCCCAAAGCTCGAGAAGTTCCTCTGGAGTGGCTCACTCAACCTTTCCGGCTGCCACACAATGTCATGAGGCCAGAGCCGGACTACTTCACTGCACCTTTTGACAAGAGCAAGGTCGAATTCTTCCTCATTGATGATAAGGACACATTTTTCCCCCCCTCCACTCGCAACAGGATCGTATACTACATTCTGACCCGCTGCCCTTACTACAAGGAAGACCGTAAAGAGAAAGATAAGACAGGAATTAAACGTCTGCTGAATAACGGCACCTACACTTCAGCTTATCCCCTTCATGATGTGAGTGTGAGATTTATGCACTTTATTCTATCTATCTATCTATGATTTTTTTTATATATATAAATTAATACTTTTACTTTTATTAATTAAGGATGCTTTAAATTGATCAAAAGTGGCAATACATTTTTACTGTAGTGACTTTTACATTGTTACAAAAAATATATATTAAATTATTATTTAATTATTAATGCCATCAGAGAAATAAATTACATTTAAAAATGAATTAAAATTGAAAACAGCTATTTTAAATTGTAATGATATTACACAATAACAATACAGTTTGACTGTGTTTTTATCAAATAAATGTATCCTTGGTACACACATCAGACTCCTTTTAAAAACATTTTTAAAAAAATCTTACCAACCTCAAAGACAAAAAAGTCCCCTTGCATGTTAAAAGAGTTTGTGTCTTTGGTCAACATCTGATTGCTGTTTTTTCCTCAGTGTAAGTATTGGAAGAAGGCACAAGACATGCAGTGTGAGAGTGAGAGGTATCATCTGTATAAAAACTGGGCTCGATTCCTCTGCTTCTACAAGAAGCAACCACTCAATCTGATCAAGTGAGGACACTGCAGACACAATGCATGCATACCTGTCAAAGAGTGCAATAACCAAATCTGGAGCAGATGCATGTTCATTACACTGCTGATTGCAATATTACATCTCAGTAGAAGAAATGATTAACCTCACTTTTCTAGAGCAGCATATCAAACCATAGTGTTTAATTTCCTCTTTGTGTTTTGTCATAGGAAGTACTATGGTGAGAAGATTGGTATCTACTTTGCCTGGCTGGGCTTTTACACAGAAATGCTGTTTTTTGCTGCAGTCATGGGTGTGATCTGTTTTGTTTATGGCGTGCTTAGTTACGAAGACAACATCACAAGGTTAGTATCACTGGAAGGTTATATGGGTCAAATGAACACACATCCTTGCCTCCCGAGTCTGAAACTATGTGGTTGCATGCATTCTTAACAACCCTTTGCTATTTGTGACCAATATTACAGTGCCTGTGACTGTAAAAGCTAAGCCATCAGACAGGAAGTTGTTGTTTCTTTATTATTGTAATGGTTTTTGCAGTTGAACACTAAATATTGTTATATTGAATGAGATGGTTTATATTTTTTGTTCTTTTGTAAACCGTAACTTCTGATAGGTGTTATAAAGTATTAGTCAAATGTTTTCGCCACAGAAAACAAAGTAATTGTGACTTTTTATCTCACAAAGTCAGAACTGCTAAACTCAGCATTGAGATATGAACTCAGAATTGTGAGATTCTGAATTCTGAGGGGAAAAAAGGCTGAATTGCGAGATGTGAAGTAAAAATTCGGAGAAAAAAAATCATAATTATAAGACATAAATTGAGAATTGTGACATGTTAACTCAGAAATGCAAGAAAAAAAGTCAGAATTCTGAGTTTATATATATATTTATATATATCATAGAATTGTGACAAACAAAGTGTGAATTGTGAGATAAAAAGTCACTTTTTTTATTCCATGGTGGAAACGGGCTTCCATAGTATATGACAGTGTCTTTAAAAAAAAAAAAATTCTGTTTTGTATAACAAGCAAAACCATTATGGGCACATACAATCTGTGATAGATGGACTCTGGAGCCTAGATGCGTTTGTTTTTCTAGTTTGCAGAGCTAAAGATGTTTGTGGAACATGCTCATAATATGGTGTTTGATGTTAAACCTGAGTGGTTCATTTGTGCCCAAGTTTTCCATGGTGTGTTGATACTGTTTTCTACTTCACTGATATAGTGCAGTAAGAGGGTGAACTGAGATTTTGGTCATATTCACTTCTGCATTACAGTAATATTTCTCTCTGTTGCTCTCTGTTGCGTTTTCAGCAAGGAGATCTGTGACCCAGAAATCGGTGGGATGATTGTCATGTGTCCACTCTGTGATAAAAAGTGCAGCTACTGGAAACTCAACTCAACATGTCTGTCCTCCTGGGTGAGAAATATTTTAGATTCACCGTTTGAAACATAAATAATGATTTCCCTTCATCATAGAATGATCTTTTTTTTCCTTTAGCAATCCCATCTATTTGATAACGAGGGGACTGTCTTCTTTGCCATGTTCATGGGTATTTGGGGTGAGTGCACTCTGATTGTTTAAAATACTAGCTCAATAGCTCCATCTAGTGGTTAGATGGAAATTGCTAGTCAGACTCCAGATCTAATGAGAGATTAGCAACTGTGCATGAAGCATTTTAATGTATTCATATTGTCAAATAATTGGGCACAGAATTTGTTCACTAGATAAGTCTACAATGAAGGAGCATAATTTGTCTATGCTTTTTGAAAAATAATCTTTAATTACTTGTAGGGTAGTGGTGCATGTTGATTATCCATTACTGAACACTGAATTCATTTCACACAGGCCTCAAAAATGAGCTCTGCTTATGCAGTGATTTGATTAATCAGCACTGTGTGAATATTTCTGCACCCAGTGTGCTGTGTACTCATAAATTAAAAATTGTTTATTTAGCTTCTAAACTTTTGTTAGACCTTGTTTGAGTACAATTATTGTAAAGAAGAAAACAACACTGTGTGACACCATAGGGTGAAGCTGGTTAGATTTAAATAGAATTGATAGTAAGTGTGAATGTGATGCTCCTAAATAATGTATTTGTTATTTTTTCTGCTCTGTTTCTCACTTTCTTTCTCTGGGTGCTTTGCAGTGACCCTGTTCCTGGAGTTTTGGAAGCGGCGGCAGGCCCGTCTGGAGTATGAGTGGGACCTTGTGGACTTTGAGGAGGAACAGCAGCAGCTACAGATCAGACCAGAGTATGAGTTGAAATGCTCAGGCCGTAGACTCAACCGCATCACGCAGGTACCTGCAAACATTACGGCGTGATTAAACACATGATGCTGCATCAACATCCTTTGTTAGTCATGGAGCCAACACACTTTTTAAACATTCATAAGCCTCACTCTAATCAAAACCATAACCTACCCTTAAATTCATGCATAAGAAAATGATAAATACATAATAAAAAATAAACCTTTTCATTCCATTTTGCAATTTAAATAGGATGTAAATGAATGGTTTAGTTCATTATAAATACTCTGGTTGATTGAGAATATAAGAGAAGACATGCCCATAAGGAGTAGATAATTGCGGGTGGAGAATGAAAACCAACATTATTAATGGTTAAAAAACTGAAGATCTGCACATCATAGAGCTCCCGCTGACAGGATGTTTCAGGCAGATAACGCTATCTTGAAATAGCCTTCCTTTATCACGTGGTGATTTGTGACCTAGAATCTGCCTGATATCTTTCAAATAATTTGCATGATCTGAGTAAATATTTGCATTTGTCTTGTGCACAAACTGGTTTTCGCCACTTCATTTAACATATCATCATAATGGACCCTTTTCACAAGACTGTGATGATGTGTTTCACAGGTCTTCAGCATCGTAACTAGTGCTGTGTTCAAAATATCGATACGACGATGTATCGTCACAGAGATTTGACGATACGAGTATCGATACAGCTGGCCCTGTATCGATATTGTGGCACGTGTGCAGCAGTGGACCACGCTTAATTTGTTTAAAAGTTTACAACGTTTAAAATTGAGCAGAAAAGTGCGAGGTTTCTAAAAAACCAGCTGTTTTTCTAAATTCTGCTGAGGTGAAATTCAGTGCAGTCCCGTATGGTGATACGTATCGTATCGTGGCCTATGTATCGTGATACGTATCGTATCGTGACTTTGCTGGTGATACACAGCCCTAATCGTAAATGCTCCAAAGTTTTTTGTGTTTTCTTTTTTTGAAAAAAATGTATGTACTCTATACTTTTTATTACATTACCTTTGCATCAAATTACAAAAAACTAGTTAACGCTAATGCGAGGGAGTTTCTAATACAGCGTCTATAGGAGTGACGGTAAATTTGACATCGTTCTCTCTACTCACTGCCTTTATCAGTCATGAAAACACTATCATGGAGTTTTTCTTTTGCTATTTGAGCAAATGGGAATGCAAAAAAAATATATTTGTGGTAGTCTCCCATTCACTGCTATAGAAGTTTATCCAACTATGACGACTTCTGCTGAAATGTGAAAAAGGTCCATCATGGCAAAGGACTTGCCTCTGCCTTGCTCCCAGATCTTCTGCTGTAAATTCAACCATTTTAATTATTGTTCCATGTCACAAATACTGTTCACAGATGTTCTCAATATAAATTCAAGAGTTTTTTGTAAAGATGCACTGATCGACCGGAATTAGCAGATTTTCTGCATGATTGGCCCGGACCGGTGACCAGCTGGTCAGTCTCACGTCTGTTTTGACGTCACAGCTACGCTCACATCCGCATGTAAACATGTCATCGACGTGGAAGTTTTACACTGTGAGTGAAAAAGACACAGAGTTCGTAATCTGTAATACGAGTTGGGCCAAAGTAAACTGTAGGTAAACCACAGGGCTCGATTAACACTTGTCTTGGAACAAGTAGATTTTTTAAAGGTAAGTGAGAGAAAATTTTACTTGCCCGACCAGGCAAAGAAGCCTGAAGCTCCTTATGGGCATGTCTTCTCTCAATAACAAAATATTTTGCGCGACAGTGATTCAGCTTTTATTGCATTCAGTGTAAATGGCGATTGATAATATGTGACCCTGGACCACAAAACCATAAAGACAGCGGCCCTGTCCCAAATGGCACACTTCATGCGCACTTGCGGTCTTGCGAACTTACAATGGCCGCCGCGTGCGCATGTCCGTTAAGTCCATGAGACCGTAGGGCAGGGTTCCTCAAATCTGGTAACAACTCTACAGTTTCCTATTATTCTAACTGAATTAATTGAAACAATGTAAGAATTTGATGTGAAAGATGGAAAAAAAATTCTATGAATACATTTATAGTATTTATTCATAGTGTGAAATGACATCTGTTCTGTTTTGTTATACAGCAACTCATTTCTACCAATTTCCAGTCACAGAGCACTTTATTTTTAGAGTTGTTTAAGTGAGAGAACATCTGTAACTTAGTCCAGATTGGGGGAATTGTAATGTTTAATCATTTCTTTTATTATGTAAATATTTTTTTTTGTTGCATTGGATGAAGTAGAACTGGAATCGGCCAAGAAAATTGCAATCGGTGCATCTCTAGTTTTTTGTTTCTCAAGTAAACACTACATGCAGTCTTAGTCATGATATGCTACTTAATGTCAAATAACTTCAAGTAGTCCAAATATACTTTTTGTTAATGCTGAGTTGTTTTAGCTTTAAACCACTTTTTATTACATTTAGATGAAAGATTGCAAAGACAAAATATTGTTTAATGCAACGGAAGTGTACATCATCTCATATATGTTGTTTATACTAGTCATTTTTATTTAATTTTAATTTTTTATTCATTTATTATTTACAAAACAGTTGAACTCTAGTCCGATTATGGAGCTTGAACTGATGACACATTCTTTATTGCTAACAGGAAACGGAGCCTTATCTTCCTTTCCCCAGCAAGTGTGCCCGATTCTGTCTGTCTGGAGCAACTGTTCTCTTTTGGGTGAGTTAGTAAGATAAACAGTACAATTGTATTATATAGATAGAGGTTATCAGTCACTATTACACAGCTCTTTGGAATACTTGATTATGATTGGTCAATCATATTCTGCAGTATGTTCTTTTAAACTGTACATTTGACCTTTTATCCTTGGCTACCAATTACTTACACTTTGGTAGCTCATTTAAACAAAGATAAGTCTGTTAAGAAGTCCTTCCCTCTCTTTGTGTTTTGTCAGACGTGTCTGATAGTGGCCTGTATAATGGGAGTGATCGCTTACAGATTGGCAGTTTATGCAGCGTTTGCCAGCGTCATGAAGGACAGCCCCACCAGTAAGATCCAGCTGGTGGGCTCTCTCATCACCCCTCAACTTGCCACTTCTGTCACTGCTTCCTGCATCAACTTTGTCATTATCCTCATCCTCAACTTCCTCTATGAGCATGTGGCCATTTGGATCACTGATATGGGTGAGCGAAAACACAAGAAATTAGAGTTGTTTGACACGTTAAATGCATTTCAGTCTCTGGAAAATGGCAAGTTTTATAGTTTGCTTAATTAATAGAGTTTATAATAAATGAGTATGTGTCCACTTTATTTATTCATTCATTTATTTGTTTGTTTGTTGAGTAGCTATGTAATAAGTCAGATGGTCATCACAAAATTACCGTGTGTATTTGTTTTCTGATAATGACTGTACATTATACCTCACGTATTTGCTCATCTGTTTGTTAAGCTGCATGGAAAATATTTTACTATCTTCCTCTTTTTAACTCTCAGAGATCCCCAAGACCCATTTGGAGTATGAGAATAAGCTGACCATGAAGATGTTTATGTTCCAATTTGTGAACTACTACTCTTCCAGTTTCTATGTGGCCTTCTTTAAAGGGAAGTTTGTGGGTTATCCGGGAAACTACAGTTATATGTTTGGAAAGTGGAGCAAGCTGAGAAATGAAGAGGTGAGACTCTCTGAAATACCCATATGTCAGAGGACCTAATGTTCTTCAGCTGAATATCAGAATAAGTAGATCTAACCTGATGATATGCATTTTAATATTTAGTGCGCCCCTGGGGGCTGTCTGATTGAGCTGACCACACAGCTGCTTATCGTAATGGCTGGAAAACAAATGGTTGGGAACATTCAAGAGGCTCTGTTGCCGTAAGCATTACATTGAACTTTGACCTCTAAGAATGTTTGTTTTTTACTTGTAATTTTATTGCACATATGTTTTTTAAAATCGTCCTCTAGGCACTGTCCATATAGTGTATATCGAAAAAACACACACACATAATGGTCCCTTGTGCCTGTGTCACAGCCTTTTCAGAAACTGGTGGGGCAGCAGGAAAGGGCGAAGTCATCCAGAGAGTACATACAGTAGATGGGAGCAGGACCACAATCTGCAGAACTTCAGCCAGTTTGGACTCTTCTATGAGTATCTGGAAATGGGTATGATTTTACTCCATTATACATGTTGGAGTTATTTGGTGTTTATATAGCAAAGCAGTTAATTAAAGTCATTTAGATACTTTATGCAGTTGTGCTAAATACAATTATATTTTATAGTACACTCCTGTTCAAAATGTAGCAACACCAAGAGTTTTTTTAAAGAAATGTAATACTTTATTCTGTAAGGATGCATTAAATTGTGACAGTGAAGACTTTTTACATTGATTACATTGAAAAAAAAAAGATTCACTGTTGCCACAAAAATATTAAGCAGCACAGCTGTTATCTCATCACTGATATGAAATAAGTTATGATTCTTGAGCAACCACTTAGCACATTAGACGATCATGTGACACTGAAGACTGAAGTAATGTCTGCTGAAAATTCTGCTTTTTAATCACTGGAATAAATAACATTTTAAAATATATTAAAATAAAAAAAGAGTTATTTTATATTGTAATAACATTTCACAATATTGCTGTTTTTACAGTTGTTGTTTTTTTTCCATATATAATAAATGCAGCCTTGGTGAGCATAGGAAACTTCTTTCAAAAACATCACAGAAATCTCGTTGACCCCAAACATTTGAACGGAAGTGTATGTTTTATTTACTGTACACTATATATTTAATATTGTATTAACACAATAATAAGTGAATACATGATTTTTTCATATCAATTAAAAAAATATAAAGAAATGTACGTAAAAATGAATATATTCCAAAAACAAATCAATTTAAAGATTATATTATTTAAAGTTATCTTTATGCTCCTATTAAAGAAGCCTCAAGGATGAGAAGTGTCTAGGGCTTTCGGTGAGCATTTGTCAGTGCTTCATCTATTAAAGCAGTTGTTTCCTGTGTGTTTTAAACAGTGATCCAGTTTGGCTTCATAACACTTTTCGTGGCCTCTTTTCCACTGGCCCCTCTTCTTGCCCTCTTCAACAACATCCTGGAGGTGCGAGTCGATGCTTGGAAGTTTACTACACAGTTCAGAAGGCCAGTGGCAGCGAAGGCGCGCAACATTGGAGCGTGGAAAGAGATCCTTAATGTGGTGGCCATCTTGTCCGTGGTCACGAATGTAAATGCAAACTGTTTTGTTCTGCTTTCTATTTTGATTCATCCTGTAATTTTACTGTCTTATGTAAAATTGGATCTGGATTTGAACTTCCTTCTAAATATAGTTAGTTAACTATAAGCAATATCATTTCCTGTATAACAAAAGGTCTATTTTATAACACTATTTCTACCATACTTAAAATCTATTGTTATTTCTTTCCTCCTCTCTCTCATTTGCACTTGAGGCTTTCATCGTGGCATTCACCTCGGATATGATTCCTCGCCTGGTCTATCTGTATGCCTACCACCCAGGCAGCGAGGCCACTATGAGAGGTTATATCACCAACAGCCTCTCCTTTTACAACATCTCTCAGATCCCTGAAGATAACCTACCTGAACATGGAGAAAACCCATCCTGGTTTAACAGCTCTACCATCACAAGATGCAGGTGTGTAACCGCCTAGTGAAAACTGTAGTCTGTATTAGACCTACACATCGATATGCCAAATTAACAGCATGATGAATATATTGTTTTCCAGCTATCGGGACTACAGATACCCACCTGGGCATGAAAAGCAATACACACACACAATGCAGTTCTGGCATATCTTGGCTGCTAAGCTAGCCTTCATCATCATTATGGAAGTAAGAAATTTGCATAACATAAAAGGCTTCTAATTTCAATTTAGGGGTGTACTCGCACTAGGCGATCTGAACCGTGCCTGAGCGTGTTTGACTAGTGTGATCGCTCCGTAGATTCGTTTAGCCGTCCATGGCTCGCTTGGAAGAGGTGGGCCAGAGCACGGTTCAGTTGGGCTGTAGTGTGATTGCACAGAACAGCTACTATTTTGTGTGCACTACTGTCATCATTACGACCGCAAACATCATCTATTACTACTGCTACAGTACACTTCAATTATTTTAATTAAATCAAGTATATTTAGGTTTATAACGGGTCTGGGTCTGGTTCTTAATGAACAGGAATTTTAGTTTGCGGATAAAGCTGCAAATACTTTCATTAACGTCAGCTGCCTCCGTAATAATCCTCTCTGATACATGCAAGTGAAAATCGCTGCACGGCATAAATGAATTTATTAGGCAGTCTATTAGCGAAAGTGGTTTTCTCCGTTATCTCGTACATGGCGTAAGCGTGCGCCGGCCCGGAATGTTTAGTGCAAGTGTGAGTGCAGGCCAGCGGGGGAGTGGGGAGGTCAACTGTGCCTAGTGTGAGTACACCCTAGGAAACTGAATTAATACAGTGGAATATGCAGGGAAATTTAAAATAACTATAATAAGTATATTTGTATTAGAGTAACATGATCAGGAAGGTAAAGAAAAGGACAAGCAAGTAAAAAAAAAAAAGTAAGGAATCTTAAAGTTCAGTAGCTTAGACTATTGTGTGTGTGTTTTTTAAATTAAATACTCTCAGCAAGGACACATTAAATTGGTCAAAAGTGACAATTAAGACTTGTTAATTTTTACAAATAAATTTTTTTTTATTTCAAATAAATGCAGTTCTTTTGAGCTTTCTATTCATCAAAGAATTCTGAAAAATGCATCATAGTTTCCACAAAACAATATTAAGTAGCAAAATTGTTTTCAACATTTGATATTTCTTGAGTACCAAATTATCATTTTAGAATGATTTCTGAAGGATCGTATGACACTGAGTGGAGTAATGGCTGCTGAAAATTCAGCTTTTCAGTCACTAGAATAAATAACATTTTAAAATATATTAAAATAGAAAAGAGTTATTTTAAATTGTAGTAATATTTCACAATATGACTTTTTTTGCTGTATTTTTGATCAAATAAATTCAGGTTTGGTGATAAGAGACGTAATGGAACACAAGAGACTTCTTACTGGCTCCAGACTTTTGAACCTTAGTTCTGTCTGTTAGTATAAAAACATGATAGCTCGATCTTTTTCTGTCCATAAGGATTAGCGCAGCACATCTGATCTTGGTAAAGCTTTGTCATGAACATTGCTTGTAGCATCTGAAGTCTAAAAAGAAAATGAGCTCAATACAGGAACAATGGAAAGACATGTACTGTATGAGCTTAAATGTTTGCTATGCATTTAGTTACTATTTAACACAAACTTAGATGTGGAAATGTGCTTCTATGCACACATGATGACTGTTCCTCTGTTTCCTCTCCTTTCTCAGCATGTTGTATTTGTGGTGAAATTCTTCGTGGCGTGGCTGATTCCAGATGTGCCGGTAGAGGTAAAGGCACATATAAAGCGTGAACGCTTTCTGGTTCAGGAATACCTGCACAACTACGAAGTGGAGAAACTCAAGATGCAGCTGAGCCAGAGTTTCTGCCTGTCCACAGAAACGGCCTCACTGCTGCCCTCTAGTCCGAGGAAACACCCAGGTGCTTTCTGAATGTATTTGAATATCCCTGAATCCTCAGGACTACTCTAATGTACTATACACCGCAAAGCATGGAGGAATCGAATCTTCTGAACCCCTTCATACATTTATTGCAAAAAACTGTCTGCCAGAACTTTTATAAAAAACTACACGCCTAACAGTCTTTTTTCTGCTTGAGTTTTATGGGAAAACATTCCCGCTTTCCTCTGTGTTTCTCTCAAATGTCTGGAGTGCACTTGCAGAACTGCACTTCTACAATGGCGAAAGGCTTGGAGACCGATCACAGAGATTTCAGCAGCAAACCATCTAGAATGCGGCCTGCTGCTCCTCAGGTTGCCTTGAGCAAGCTGCTGGGAATTCAACTGATGAATAATCATTTATGACCATTAAAAGACTGAAAATGTTTTACAAGGCAATAAGCTTTTATGTCCGTACGGCTTGTTGCCATTATATATTTTTTGAAGAAGTAATCTGCATGTTTTGCTCTATGTCTGACTGTGAAAGAGGTACATGTAGACAGTGAATTGTCTTTTTTTTGTCTATTTTTTGCTTTTCTTTTCTTTAGATATGTCACATTTTCTTGTAGGCGTGTGAGGTTTAACAGTTAATATATGTTGTTGTCCAGTGGATTTTACCACTGTGGATATTTTCTTTATGAAACACACTGATAGCTGAATAGCTATCAAAGAATATCATCATCATTTCTGTAGTGCTTGCATTATCATGTTTCACATAATATTTATATTTTATTATTGTTATTTTTGATTAATGCTGTATCTTGCCACCCACACATTTTGTTCTGTGTAATATTAAATGTAATATATATTTCATTTTTTTTATTATTACTGTTGTTCAAGGATGTATTTATTGTTTCAGTACAATCATAACCGATTTATTATCTGGTTGGAAGGATTTTTTTTTTTAATATGATGACTTGCTGTATGTTTTCTGATACTTCAAAAATCAGAAACTCAAGCCATTATTCATCACCTCATTCTGTAAGAGTCTTTCAAGGTTTGCACATAACGCATATCTGAGGCTAAATGAGCATTAGCTCTCATCTGTAATCGTGACTAGGAGAACACTAGTCTTGTACCGTTTCCCTGTAACTAATTTCTGCACAAATGCACTTAACAGGATTAGTTTGCATTTTTGTGATCAGTTCTCAATGCATCTGAGACTTTGATATTCACCCTGATAACTTAATTTTATATTACAGTAGTTCTGGGACAAATTAATTGAGTGAAGCAGGCTTTCAGAGATTCCCATACATGTCAAGACAAGAAATGGCCTCTAACAGTGTAACATGAAAAAGGACAAATACTAACTTTATTACTAACCAGGTGCAAAGAGATTTGGTTCAAAAACTTTGAGCTGTCCCATCAGTATTTCAGATGTTTGATTAAAACATTGTGTAGCGCTATTGATGTACACTGTTCACTCAGTGCCAACCATCCTCTATAGCAGTGTTTCTCAACCCTGGTCCTGGGCGCCCCCCAGCACTGCACATTTTGTGTGTCTCCCTAATCAAACACCTGATTCAACTCATTAGCTCATTAAAAGAAACTCCAGGACCTGAAATGGGTGTCAGATAAGGGAGACATACAAAATGTGCAGTGTTAGGGGGGCGCTCAGGACCAGGGTTGAGAAACACTGATATAGAGTCACAATTCCCATTTTTATTTTATTCACATTGAAATGGAAACAGATTTCCATAGTATTCCACCCACACAAAGAACAATAATGTAGAGGAATCACTTCTATATTAAATGGTGTTATTCCGCCCAACATTTTGCATTGTCTATGTGGTCTCTGAGACCAGGAGAAGGTGAGGCAAAAAAGTAGAAAAATGCTGTAATAAGGAATCAAATTTAGTTGCAAAGAAACCAACTCCACCTGACTCTCTCTCTCTTATCTTTTCAAGTGTAAGTACTTGGGTGAAATGCATGATCAGCTCAAGATGTTCACTGGCTGAAGGTGAGGAGAACACACACACACACACACAAACACACACCTCCCCCATTTTGCTCATTAAGACATTACATAATCAACCTGTGGTTCAAGTCAAGATGAAAATGAAAGGAGGAGTGCTAGTCCATCAGTCCGTACCCTTCCCTCCAAGGGGGCACACGCTCTGTGATGAAACACCTATCACTGCCATACCAGCTGTTCTTTTGGCTTTGCTGGGAACTGCCGGGACAAGCATTGTGCCATCTGGGGACCTGGTGCTAATCTGTGTAGAACTACAAAGTTTGCTTGAATAAATTCGAGAAAAAATTATGTTCCCTATCTTAAAGTAGATTAATTGGAGAACATGAACCCTTCACAGAGATTACTATCCTTGTTCACAAATACTGAGCATGTTTGCAGGAGCTTATGCATGCAAACTGAGTTTTTATTAAGGCTTTTAGGTTAGGCCTGGTTCTGAGGCCAATATAAAGATCAGAGAGGTGCATGATGGGAAGGCTATGTAGCATTGGGTAGCTCAAAACAAGTAAACATGAATTTTAAATCCATCAGCATAGCCAGCCACCAACTACAGTGTCTACTTTTTGTGATGTATCCTATAGAAAGCAAGAGAATTCAGCATCTAGAATTATTTTTTTTTGTTGTTGTTACTATTGTTGGTTTTCTTCAAAGATGTATTTATTGCTTCAGAGTTATTATATAACTGATTTATTATCTGGTTGGAAGGATTGATTTTACCAGATTAAGCTCTAGAATGACTTGCTGTATGTTTTCTGATACTTCAAAAATCAGAAACTCAAGCCATTATTCATCACCTCATTCTGTAAGAGTCTTTCAAGGTTTGCACATAACGCATATCTGAGGCTAAATGAGCATTAGCTCTCATCTGTAATCGTGACTAGGAGAACACTAGTCTTGTACCGTTTCCCTGTAACTAATTTCTGCACAAATGCACTTAACAGGATTAGTTTGCATTTTTGTGATCAGTTCTCAATGCATCTGAGACTTTGATATTCACCCTGATAACTTAATTTTATATTACAGTAGTTCTGGGACAAATTAATTGAGTGAAGCAGGCTTTCAGAGATTCCCATACATGTCAAGACAAGAAATGGCCTCTAACAGTGTAACATGAAAAAGGACAAATACTAACTTTATTACTAACCAGGTGCAAAGAGATTTGGTTCAAAAACTTTGAGCTGTCCCATCAGTATTTCAGATGTTTGATTAAAACATTGTGTAGCGCTATTGATGTACACTGTTCACTCAGTGCCAACCATCCTCTATAGCAGTGTTTCTCAACCCTGGTCCTGGGCGCCCCCCAGCACTGCACATTTTGTGTGTCTCCCTAATCAAACACCTGATTCAACTCATTAGCTCATTAAAAGAAACTCCAGGACCTGAAATGGGTGTCAGATAAGGGAGACATACAAAATGTGCAGTGTTAGGGGGGCGCTCAGGACCAGGGTTGAGAAACACTGCTCTATAGGGACATCACTTGTTTGAAAGCAAACAAACGTGTTAAAGTTATGTCCCAAGAGTTTGTCTGTTTTTAAAGTGTCTTACAATTTAACTACACATGTTGTGAGCCATACCTGTTCATTTCATTCCACAAATGTTATAAATCCTCTATATGTATTTTTAGCCTGTTGAGTGATTTTTGCAGTAATTAATCGATATTTTATGGATCATACAAATACAGTTTACAGAAATGTTCTGAATATTGTTACTATACTTGTAAACAAAGTTTTATCCTAAACAAAATGCATAATATATGTACCCGAAGTTAAACGTGACAATCATTTCATTCTAAAAAAAATATTTTAAAAAGTTTTTCACTTAGTTTAGGATATTTTTGTGTTCAGAACATGCCACACGTGCATTTGCCTTAATAACTGTATTAATGATACTCGTGTATGTGTATATTGTTTTTTGGTCGTCTTATTTATTTGGTCTACAAATGTTCACAGAATAAGTTGCATGAATCCGTGAGAAAAAGTAAGTTTATGAATAACCATGAATCAAGTTTATAAAAGAAAGTATTGTCTCCAACGACGAGAACGTGCCAAAATAAAGTGATTGAAGTATATTACACGTGTTCAGCACTTGTTGGGCGTCCTCTGCGAATACGGTCATGAACACAAGGGGGCGCCTGCGCTTCACTAAACGCGCTCTCGACTACCTGTTGTGGGAAGCTTTCAAGAACGCAAAGCCTCGCAACTGAGCAGAGGTACTTTCCTATAAAGAGGTATGTGATTTAGCAGGATATCAAAATAAAAAATACGATATTATCAAATTATCTTATCAAAATATCCCCTTCATTATGCTCAACCATAAGAAACTGACAAATTAATAATAGCTTGCACCTGGACTGTATTTGCTTCGAATTCGGCGTACGTGTACATACAATAGTTTTTATTTATTTATTTTTGCTGTGAAGGACAGTGCTACAGAAAGAGGGAGGGGGACTGTGAGCTATGTATGAATTATTAATACGCTTTCCTTCACACCAGCACACGGGGAAACACCCCTCATTCGGTTTCCATAGCACCGCCCCCAGGAGGCTTGCACGGCCTTTGAAGGAAAACAAGCAATAGGCATAAAAGCACAAATGTAGAAACTTAGAATGTCAGGTCACGTGCCCGTCATATAAGCATCGAAAAACTATCATTTGTCGCTCGTGGAACATAATTCAGATCATTTGAGGGCAAAATCAAAGAAAATGTGAATGGAATGTGAACATTGTCCGCCCTCTCTAACCCCTCCCAAAGCAGTGAACCGCTGCTGGCACTCTGACGGGAGTGATCCGCTTCGCGCAGTTGGTAAATGAGTGGCGGGGGAGCTCGCGCTGCTCTGAACGCGAGACTGTCGCTGACCTTGGTGCTGAAATCCATTCACCTCTTTCTAAAGCTACTTAACTGTCCCTTTGCACCGAAAAACTGACGTTACGAGACGAGGAATTGGTCACCTTTTAATTTTTTTCCTCTTAATTAACCCTTCATCGTTTTTATAAATCCGATTTTTTTTCAACACCGTCAATTTGAAGCGAACATAAATTCGTTGACTCAAATCTGAGATGGCATCGCGTGCTCTTATCGCGCGCGGGGCAGTTTATGAGTTTATAACTATGAGTAGACAGAGCCAGACCACTTCTGATATCTCTCGTATGTAGGCGGATTTTTTTTCTTCGCTCCGTGAACACCGTCGTGAATTTTCCTCATCTGTTTTACTGAATCACTGATCCGCTGGGTATCGGTCCGGTATGCTCTGTCATTTCACACTGTGACATGGTACTTTAACATTACCGGGAAAACGAGGGATTATCACATTTGGACATGGAGACTCTGAGGGAGCCTGGTTTTATGCCCAGCAAAGAGGGGCTGAAGCAACTAGCGGGGAAGACACTGGGGCACGTGCACAAGTAAGATATTTTAACATTATAAAACTGATTCAGTCATTTAAAAATAATAGGCCTAAGTTTGTGTGTGCGTGTGTGATTTACGCGAACTATTGTTATAACAGAACAGAAAATCACGAATTTGCAGCTAGTTTTGTCTATTCAGTAACGAGTTTCCCCAGTCGGTTTTGGCTTCACGCCTCATGAAGACGTGAAGAAAATTATGTAATCCTGCATAATCTTGGCAGGAGGGGATGGAAGCATGCGAGTTTTCCTATCCTTGAAGGTTGTCATTGTAATCCGGTGATTCAAATGCATTTTCGATTTAATAGTAATCTTTCAATTAGAGGATTCCCTTGAGTGCACCTTCCTTTTTAGAGACCATTCACTTATTCCCGTAATAGGCTACCTGCAAAAAAGACCGC